GGTCGAAATTAGATTTTTATTATGGTATCCATTCGGGATACCAGTATTAAATAGTACAATTTTCAATGCAAAACAAAGAATATATTTAATTCCCGGAACATAAACAAAAGTTACAGGAACAAATAAATGCAGAAACAAAATAATATACAAAGAAAATACAAGAAAGCAGAGGAAAAATAAAAATTTTATCTTATGGGTTAGAGACACGGTGCCCTTACTATCATGAAGCGAAAGCGCTTCCCGATGACCACTTAAACCAACTTGAAAGTTCGTGGATTATAGACCCAAACGCCTGAACCCTAACTCTAACCCTACACCTAATCCTAACCCTAAACCCTATTCCTAAATTCTAAAATAAAATAAAATTAGCCAAAAATATAAAAAAATAAAATAACCAAGTTGACAAAAACTGTCCAAAAATCTAGCCAATCAGAGAAGATGAGCCGTTGTTTAGTTTTCACAACGTCCGAAACTGATCCGGTTGTTTAGACACTTCCTAAGATAATAGGCTCTACTAGTACTAGTGTTCAATCCTGGTTTGGGACCCCGTATATATAGTTCACATAGATCTTAAAATCTAAATCCGGGTGCTAAACCTAAAATTGTCCAGCCTATAGTCTGGCGTTAATTGGTTCGTATCTGTATTGTATATGTCCACTAATTGTATTTTCACAAGCATCACTTCTGGTGAAGTGCGACGAATATTCTGCGAATGTGAACTTTATTGATTTGTACCTCCACAGCCGTTTCAATTTCTGGCTAATCTTATATCCTTTGATTTGCTATATTTTAGTAAATTTCCTCACGTGGTCGGAAAGCAATTTTAAGTAACTTGTGATGGTCACGTTCCAGTCTTCAATCTGACTCCCTTTATTTATATGCCCCAGTATTCAAAGCCATTATATAATGTAGCACGTCTTCTTCCCCCCCCCCCAATAACACAAGTCACAACCCCGTCATTAGTGTATTTATTTTGAAATTAAGCCTTTAGATCTATCATGCATGTCTTGAATTTAAAAGCACAAAACAAGAATCGCTCAATAGGCCAATTGACGTCATGTAATTTCTTTAATCCGTAATTAATATATTAATCATTTCAGTTTATCTTTTTGTTGCTACCTTCCCCTTCGTCCGCTTTCTATCTGCCCGTTTTTTTTAGAATGCTCTTGTTTACCATTTTTCCATCTCAATTTTTGATAAGGTGCCAATAGATAAGAATGGCACAATATTTAAATTTATATTCTTCATTTTGTCAATGATTTCATTTGCCCAATTTTTTTCTCATATTTAACGTTAATGATTGAGGTTGATTTGAGGTTGAATGAGCACTAAAACGAATAATCGGCAAGTTTGACGACTGGTGGCAAATGACCATGTCTAATACCCCATGTGGGAAAATGAGCCTATAATTTACAAGGCCTCAATGCTTATTTCAGATGTGGTTGTCTTGTCAGAATAAAAGAAATAATTCTTAACTTGTGCAAATTTTAACTCGCCAACTTGGCAAGCTTTGTGAGACTGCTGTACCAAGTTACTGCTTGCAATAGTCTCAAAATCGACATTGAATTAGGGCAGAAACTATAGTAATCTTTTACATTGCCAGTTTCAAAATACTTAGCTTTTCTGGATAGAAATTTCAACTATCTGTTAAACATTTTTTTACAACCATTAATCCAATTACCCTCACAGGCACTCATGGAAGATTCTAAGTCCTATCCTAGATACTTAACTGTATTTTCATGTGCAATTGCCACGCCATTACATCTGATGTCGCAGCAGTTTGGATATCCTGAGTTATGTTTAGTTCCAAAAAGTAAATACTTTTCTGTTTTTCAAGATGACAGAGGAATAATTATGATCATTGAGCGACATTTATTAACGGAAAGCAAATTCTCTTACTGAATTCTTCCCGTATAGCCTGTTACTTCTGTCCCTTGAAACTACTAAAGGCCGAATCATCGCAATAGTAATAAAAGCTTGACGTGGACCTGCCTTTGCCAATGGTCATAAAGGATGCGTTTACTCTAGGTTCTAAGGGTTATTTACAGTTAATTTTAGGTTAAAATAACGCTACATTAAAAGTTCATGGTTAATCACTGTTAGAAATATATTAAAAAAATGTTTTAAAACTAACGACTACAGTTTGATTACAACGACGGTGGCGCCACTCAAAGCGCACGATCTGATAAGTTTGCGCAAAACCACTTTCCAGCCAAGGGCTACAGACCGAGGGGTTTTCTTATTGTATTTATTTAAAAGCAAATGATTGTAATATCTTATAAACGACATATAGTTCCAGTTTATAATATGGATAACTTGCCCTAAAATGAATATCGTTCGGTTAAATAGCATTTAGGTATAAATATAATTGCACTTTTGTGAGATAGCCCTCGTCTGTAACGTGCAAAATAAATGTCAATATGCAACTTTTTCGGGGTGGCAGCACGGTCGCGGGTGTCATGGTGCCGTTCAAATTTCGTAGCGTTGATGGTGCAATTAATTATAACAATTAACTTCAGTTGTATGCAGTAAAATCCTAGAGGCTACTGTCCCTTTAACATTAATAAGAAATATCAGAGGACCCAAAATCGATCCTTGTGGAGCCTCAGTTCAGTGCATATATTACTAGGAGTGTATAATATAGAGATCTAATTTATATAACTAGATACATTAATTTTTCAGTTGTCCGATTGGGCAACTAGCCAAGAGAATAACTTGTCCGACATAGTCTTTAATTTGTCTTGGCAATTTGCCAACCGTTAGTGTCGAGGGCTCATTTATCATCTAAAGTTTATTGATTACAAAATTTTAAATATATTTAAAATCTTATGTGGCTTTAGTGTAGCTGACCTAGCCATGTGAGCCAGATAACCAACCACACAATCGATATTGCGGCTAGGTTACTCAGGCTAGGCTAGTTGTTAGTGATGGGAATCGGTTGGAATTTCATCATCGATCATCGGGTGCACCCAATCGATCGATGATCGAAGATAATCGGTTAAATGTTAGTGATCACGGTAACCAGATATTGAAATATATCATACTAGCGGGATACTCGGCGTTGCCCGGGGAAATCAGTGGCGTTACTCAGCTGGTGACCGCTTGGTTGAAAGGAAAATACCCCAAAAAATCGAACTATCTATCTATCCATGCATCCATCCATGCATCCATCCCATTCCATGCCATGCCATCTCATCCCATCGCACCGCATCCCATCCCATATCCCATCCTATCCCATCCCATCTCATCACATTCAGTGCCATCCCATGCCATGCCATGCCATCCCATGCCATGCCATCCTATCCCATCCCATCGCACAGCATCCTATCCCATATCCCATCCCATGCCATCCCATGCCACCCCATTCCATGCCATCGCATGCCATCCCATGCCATCCCATCCCATCCCAAACAGTAAAAAATAATAAGAAATCAAAAGATAAAAGACATTAAAAATAAAAATAATTAATAAACTAAAAAAATAGT